TTGAATCTCATACAGTTGGCCTCGGTCCAAGAAATCCAAAGGCACCTCATCCTACACCCTCTTCATCCACAAGAAGCATCAGCTCTTCCCTCAAGAATCAATGTCTAGCAAGATAGTAAGTGCATCTTGTGAAAACGTCTCTTTCACATGCCTTAAATTTTTCCAAAGCGGTCTACCGAAGAAAGCACAATATCTATTGCTTCCAACAGAATTGAGCAAACAAGGACTAAACTCATATATGAAGCAATACATAAATTCTTAATTCTCTTCAATTCTGGTAAGTACTATTCGAAGTTAAATCCCAGTAATACATTTAATAGCTAAATCACAATATAGCAAAAATTGCTTTCAACGAAGTCTACTTAAGATTATTTTTATGATGTTTAAGTGCAAAATCCAAAGGTAACTTTGGAAATGGAAAAAATAATGGCTTTGTCAGAGATCCTCTTTCTCTCTGGCATATAAATGCATTTAGTATGTATTTTCTCCCCTACACAACAATGAGACAATAAGAAAAGAGCCCACCAGAAAACATGGATCTTAGCATTAAACACCTGATCTAACTTCAAAGTTAGCCCCTGCTTTGAGCAGGAGGCTGGACCAGACGACATCCAGAGCTCCCTTCCAACTTGCATAATTCTTTCATTCTACTTCCTGCTTATTGTAGATTCAGGACTTTTCTCTCATGTGTGGGGACTGGAGAAGAGCTATTAGAGTTGTAAGTACAAGTCCTGAACCCGTGGATGGCTCAGCAGGGAATAACCCTTGCCTCTGCACACAGCTTCATTGAATTCAGCTTGTAGCGTTACACTTAAAAGCCAAACAACTGACAGGGAAAAAAACACTTGTATTAGAACTCCTAACTCTCATATTGCAGTATTATTATCATCATCATCATTATTATTATTATCTACTTAGTGTCTACTGATACTTTATCCAGCACAATATGTCAATTTCTTCCATTCGCATGAGGAAAACACTGATATATCTTAAGGACCTCTTTGAAGAGCTTCCAGCAAAACAGCATTCCTGATAAGCTTGAAGTTGAAAGAACACAAAAGGTTATATCAGAAGCAAATTCTCCCCTCCATTCCCTTGCTTCCATCTGCTACCTTTTCACTTTACTCTCTGAACAAAAACAAGTCCAAACTTCTGGATTTTTCTGCATATTTCATAGCTTCAAAATATTTAATTGGGTGTTTTTGAATAAACCTTACCTGAAGCTACTGGTATGTTACAACCAGCAGCCTTTATGGCATTAACAGCATCGATGACTCTTGCAGGATATACACAAACCGCTCCAACAGTAATACCTGCAAAAGCCACAGTTCACTTTTTCATATATGGATTTCCACCTTCTCAAATGCAATCCATATTAGGAGCACATGTGCATAGTTCTCATCTCCCACTTCTGCATTCACACAAAGATCTTAAGCATCTACACTAGGGATGTCTGTTATAATGCTCAAATGGTTCAGGTAATTCTCCATATTGCTACCTTCTTCATGTTCCTTCACCAGACCCTGGGAGCAAGTTTGCATTAGCAGGAGTTAAAACACCGAGATTTTTATCGACAGATTCACTGTTTAATGCCAACACGTACAGTTAAGACATGCTTAGCCAGCAAATTACTGCAAGAGAAACCACACTGCCAAGCTCTGTCCTCACTTGTTGAGTCAGACTGAGCCCAGCAGCAACTGAGCAGTATTTATGTTAATGCAGTCCTACTGCATTTCTAGTTAAAATGCTATTCTCTCAAAGTCTCAGGTAAGTGACCTCATATTTAATACTTCAACTGTCTGAAGAGCCCATAAATCCAAGTTTTAAAAAAAGACTATCTTTGATATTTTATGTGTATGGCTTAAAACCAAAGGCCTGATTCCCCTTTGGTTCTACATCATATGACTTCAATCAGTAGACCAATGCCTGTGTAAAACTGAAATATTTCAATAGTAAAAGCATGCCCCAAATGTCACTGGGATTTTCTTTTTGTCATATCATCTAAGGTCAACACGAAAGGACAAAAGTCAAATGGTATTCACTGACACATCAGTGATTACAGCTGGAAAAATCCAGAAACACTGCTCAACTATAAAGAGGTTTTATTGTTAGTTATATTGACAGTCTCAATTTGCTCTGAAGTTTTACCATGTTCAGTCTTTGGTGTAACATTGGGACTTCAGATGGAGCCTGCTTGAGTAATGTCACTGAAAGTTTTAGCACTAGTTCTGAAGAGTTGTCTTCCACCCCTTCAACTCTGTTGACTTAGCTGGGAACTCTGTGCGTGTGTGTATACGTGATACACACACAATCACACACACTCACTACAGAACTGATTCCCTAAAGTAGTCTGGACTGCAAAGATGTCTCCCATCTTAACTACTGAAACAAGCAGATAACAGATAATGTTTTCTGAAGGAAAAATAACATGCTTAGGACTGGAATTCATCTTTTCTGACAGGTAAAGTGGCAGGCTTGGGAGTTACACACAGAAACCGCAGCTAAGCATGAAATCAAAAGGAGTCACATGAACACTCCCTCCTTCTCCAATTTACTAAGGACATCAGCAGATTAACAGAATATTCGATTAGTTTCACCTTAGTGCACTGTTATTAAAAGACATACACTGAGGTTACACACTTGTGGCTTCCACATCAAATTTGCTCATTAGGTATTGTAACTTTCAGTGTTGCCCTGAGTCCATGCTTCACTTTGGTTGCCAAACCAAGAATGGATTTTTTTTCTCCTTGTATTCTTATATTAACTCAAAGGAATAGATATTTTGCAGCTAGAACTTATGACGGTTGCTTTGAAATAAACCATATAGGACCTAGTTTGTTCTCTCAGGGCTACTAGTTCTGCAGTGCTGCCTACCATAGCTCCTTCCATTACAGGAAGAAGAGGCCTTCTGAAAGGCCTTTCTGAAAACTGAAAAAATAATGAGGAAATGTAGACATTTTCTCTACAAAATACACACAACAAAAACTATCATACCTTTATCATGCATGTCCAAGGCTTTCAGCAGATCCTCTCTGATGGGATGCTTTGCTTTAAAACACAGTCTATGAACATTTGAAGGAGTATCATCACCTGAAAGAGTGGTAAGGTCTATGCAGGTGACAGCTTTCAGCAGCCAAGCAGCCTACAACGGGAGTGAAGCAAGGAATACAGTATTTCAGTTTATGTTTCCAAAACCAAACTGACTTAGAAGATGCAGGAATCAGAAGCCTGGTTCTCATCCTAAGAATGAGGAAACGCACGGGATATAACATGGAGGATATGCAAAGAATGATTTATGACAGACAGGGTTGGCAAATATTTGTTCATGTCTTGAGCAGTACCTAATGGTACAGAAAGGATCTGGAATCAAAAGTCTGCTCTCTCAGAATCAGAGAATCAAATTCCAATTTTTGGTGCAAAAGTTAACTACCAAGTGGGACTCTCTAAGACTCAGACAAACATTTTTACCTGGGCAAAAAGCATCTTGTTTCAAATTTAATTCTGTAAGACAAAGATAAAAACATCACCTATGTGAGGAACCTCACTGTTGAAATATGCTCCATTCTATACAGTATGTATGTATCTTTAAGGCTTGTATGCATGAGAAATTATTCACATGCTTCAAGAGGAGCACAGGTTTGCAATTGCCAGTAACCAGATGAGTCAGCAATTTGCACACTTGCACGTTTGCATGCTGCAAGAATGAAACATGGAGGCAGTGGGGCTAAGAACCCAGACTTCTTAAAACTTAGGGTCTAGACTCCAGATGTTTCCACTTTCTTTTGTGTGAATAGAGAATAAAAAACATCTGGAATTATTTGGTGCAAAAAAACAAAAGCAAGAGCTAAGTGGCAAGGCTAAAGCTCTCTTTAGATTAAAATGTTACAGAATTTTAGAAGACTTACTAATTGGAGAATGGAACAGAAGCACAATTAAAATTTTTTGAGCTTTTTTTCTGAACAAAAATTGCGCTTAAGACATTATTTTGAAATATTTTTTGAAGGTCTTCAGCAAATTCTCATCTACACTGATGGCTTCACTAAAAGCTGACATCTCAGTGGGCACTTGTTCAACAAGGGGAGAGTTTGCAATGGCAAAGTCCATTTGAGTCCATAAAGTCCCTCTGACTGCTCTGCTCTGTGACACAATTTGTCAGTATAGGCACCAAAACTTGCTTTTTCTGCATAGAGGTATTACTCTGCAAATCTTAAGTGGCTGGTCAGCCTACAAATGTTTCACACTTTGCTGATGGGAGTCTCCTTTCTGAACTTGCAGTAAAAGCCACACTGAAAGCTGCCTTGGGGTGACTGAACAGAGTAATGAACCGTTACTGGTCTCTGTTAATCTAAGCTTTACTGATTGTTTCTAACTGATTTCTACTTTCACTCTATAATACTTCGAAAGAGTTTTTCACTTTTATTTTTTTTTTAAAGTTTCTTTTACTTGGATTTTTCTGTCCTTCATCCAAGGAAATTTTTGTCTCATCTCTTATGACATGAATCATAAAGCCGTCAAGACAGATGTAGTCAGGGAGTTCTAAGAACTGGTATGAACTTCATTTTTTTAAAAGGGTTTGTCAAATGTTTGGGAAATGGGCTTCAACATTTGAATCTGTGATGCTACTTACATTCAAATATGTAAAGGTTCAAAATCATCTTTGTGAAATAAACAGCACATGGCTATCCTGCAATGACAGTGTTCAAATCCAGGAGAAGTGCTTCTGGCATTCTTCAAAGTAAAACCTTACTCAAGTAGCTCAGTACCAGTGTTACTACACAGGAGAGTGGAGAAGTGTTAGTAAAAATTAAACATCTGTCCTACAGCCATGTTGAGGGAGTAACACTAAATCCCTTTCTTCCTAGCGGTTCTTTGTAATCAAAGCACATGGCTCTCTATGTCTTAGTTCCTTATATAGTAACTTTGGTCAAATCAGAAGACTTAACTTTTACATTACTGTACCTGCAGTTTCTGAAGATAGTCAAGGTTATGGAATACCCTCTGGATTTTCTCACTGACACTATTTCCCAATCCAGAGCCACTGGACTGCTAACCTTGGTATCAAGTGACTTTTTATGCATAAGATACTCTTGAGAAATGCTGAGCTGGTGTCTAACTTTCCTCAGTTCATGTTCGTTTTTTATTTAATCATAATATTCAAAGCACAAACTTTCAGGTTCATGTAACAGGCTGGAAGTTTTTTTCCATCACCTTCCAGTAGGATCTTAGAGCTACATCAAATTACCCCAAACACTTCCCATCCTGCCACTGAGGTGGCAGAAGTCAGCATGTAGCCATACCTCGCCCTGCTCTGCTCTGCAGAACACATTAGCTTATGCTGCTGACCTGATGGTTTTGCATTATGATTCTCACATACAAACTGGAGAAACCAAAATGCACACCAGGCCAGTATCTGTTAATTCTGCCAGGAGGGCAGTAACAGCAGAGGTTGAGGGTAACTGCTTAGACACTCTAAACATGCGTGTTCAATGAACACAAGTCAGTCTTGAAGAAAATTTCATTTGCACCACTGGCTTTAGCGATGGCTTACATGAACCTATTTTATACTAAGATGGACAATAACTGATCATTTACCTTATCGGAGGAGTTGAGAAGTCAGTCCCCTTAATATTAGTGGGTTCTGTCTTTTTTCTGTTTTCTTCTTTTTTTTTTTTTTCCCCTTCTCCCCCCAGGTGCCATAGGCAGTCAAGATTTTTGAGTTTTAGGTAAGAACTAGTTAAGCAAAGAAATCACACATGTTGGGGATGTTTAAGTAAAGAAAAATCATCCAGGTAGGTCAAACTTGACAAGGACCATGATCATATCTTACAGCTTTAAAATTAAAAAATAAGAAGGCAGCATGCAGAGAAGTCTGTCTGGGAAAGAGAATAAATGTGGTGGGATAGTAATATACAATTTAATCCACTCATGAATAAAGATGACTTAAATTCATTTGCGGTTTTGCCACTCATGAGTTATAAGGTTTTTAACTTGTTTGGATAAATGCGTCACCTTATTCCATCCCATCATCATCAAAAACAAATTATTAAAATAAGACATGGACAAGCACATCTTTTAAGTTTACATGTATCTTGAAAAAAATTCAATATTGCAGCCTGGAGAGGAAGAGTGACTGCTTTAAAAATACAGGAACAGAATGCATAAAAAGAGCACTTACTTGCCAATTACCTTTCACAGTTCTCCTTCTTTTAATTTGTTCTGCATGCCTCACAACTGCAGGTCGATTCACATGCACTTCTGAGATCCAGCCAAGTTCTGCGATGGAAAAAGAAAATCTCATCTATTTCTGTGTTTTAATATATGGTGTGGGACTTCAGAAGAAAGTTGTAGCTTGGCTTGGAATCTCTGAAGAGCACATTGTGCTTTCATGTCCTTTTAATGGCTTGCGCACTTACAACCAGTCCAAAATATCATCATAGCATTAACTTGTGATAGGGTATGATCTGTGAACTGGATGTTTCACACAGCATGTCTTGTTTGCCATTACAACTGAATCAAATAACTGCTGATGAGAGACGCTATGTTGCCAGCCCCGGAATATGAAGTTTATTATACATGTAGCATAGGAAAAAAAAACCAAAAAACCACACAAAACAGCATTCTGCCATTGCTTGCTGATCTACTTCTTGATTCCAGAATACGGTAACATTTATTCAGTCCTGTGCTTGTCTGCTGGCACCCAGGATACAACAGCATTTTTTGTGTGCACGAATCTTTGTTTACAGGAACCGTACCCCACACAGTCACCAAAACCTCTGGACAGACCCTTGCATAACAAAGCATTTGGGTTGTTATTGTCTAAAGCTAATTTTACTGAATTTGTTACTAGGGCTTGACTAACTGCAAGTTTCCAAAAGCACAGAATTGCTGGGCAATATACCTGCCTGGAAGCTGCTGAGATTCATGCCTGCCTGCCTGAGGAGTGCTCACCTTGCCAAGCACCCAGGAGGGCTCAGGGCAACATTTTCAACCTGTGAATTCCTTCAGATGCCCACTGCAGACAGCCTGGCTCACAATTCCAATGAGTTTCAGTATCCACCAGACCCAAACAGAAGCAGATGCTCAAAGTTTACTAAAATAATGAAACTGCTTAAAAACAGAAGCACCAAAAATTGGACACTGCTTAACAAAGGGTAACTGACTGACAAAGGAGAACTGAGGGTTCAGGCTCTTGAATCTTGAAATTTCTGCTTAGTATGATAAACCAAAAGTGTAATTTTGAATGTTAATAAACACAAACTGCTCACATAAGTACACAGGAAAAAGAAATCAGAATATCTTTAAAATTTCTCATATCCCAAAACATAAGTAATTCCTCTAAGTACTAATCATACAAGCAATCCATGAAAATAGTCTGAAAACAACATCAACAATCATTAACCACCAATCATCAGCAAATCACCACCATCAATCATCAAATATCATCATCAGTTAAGGTCAGTATGTGGACATGGGCTTAGATACTGAGATAATAATTCTGGGTGACTTCATTTATTAAAAGCATCTCATCTCTACAAGTCTTCTCCACTACTGTATTAAACTTGCATTTCCCTCAAGCACATTGATTAAAAAAAGTTTAAAATGTAAAAAAAAGCTGATAGCCAAAATCACTGATTTTGTACAGAAATCTTATCCTCAAACTCTTTTCTTCCTATTTGATAGTTTTAATAGATCAAAAAAGTGCAGAACTAATATACTAGCTAAAGTATGTGTAAACATAAGCTTGTTTTCCTAATCAGACTTACAAAAAGCTCTGGAGAAACCAATTTAGGGTAAAGATGACTGAGTGGAAACGCAGGACAAAGACATGAAACACAGCTAAACAAAATCTTGTTCTGAGTACAGTAAGCCACCTTGCTACCGCTTTCCTATTACCACATACAAGTAATTAAATGAGCAGTACCTACAAGGTCAAAATGTTGGCCAAAAGCAGAAAAAGTAAATCAAAGAAGGAATTTCAAAGGAATCTTAAGGAATTTAAGGATTTCTTTAGGAATTTAGCATTAGTCTCACTGTATGGTGACAAAGAAAAGGATGAGCTTGCAAAGTTGCAAATCAGTCAAACAACCAACCCTCACTACTTCTCTCCACTTTCAAAGCCACAGGCTTATCCATTCTGCCCCAAAACCAAAAAGCTCAATCAACATGTGGAAAGCAGGTGAGAAAAGCTATTGCTACAAAACCTATGGCTAGAACTTTCCTTCTTTGTAAATATCAATAAATGCAAACCATACACACACATAGTTGAAATATAAGCTAGTGAAACCTCTACATCCTCTGCAGTTGCTTTAAGGTCAAGACTCCTATGTGATCAGCAGAGGATCACTTCCCATGGGGCCACTATAAGCAATATTTGACAAAGTCCATGGGGGAGGAAAATACAAATAAAAAAAAATAAATGAAGCAAACACAAACTGTGTGTTGTGATTCTCCTACTATGTGCCAAGTGCTCAGGTTGAATCATTTAATCATAATCCAATTTACCAAGATAACTTTTGAACCCTACTGGGTGCATGGTGACCTTTCAGCCCCTTCAGAAAATGTGATAAAACCAAAGCAGTTTAGACGAGTAACTCAGGCTGCTCGTTCTCCAATAAGGGTCCTTTCAGTTACTCTACTCTGATCTATTCTTCCTACATTATGAAAGACAACCAAGAAATCCAACTAAATAATTAATTTATAAAAACTAGAGCCTTCTATAGAAGAGTCTGGAAGTATATGAAGACAATGTCTAGACTGTTAGATATGGAAAATTCAGGTTTCAGATGAAAATTTAAGTGAAAACAGAAATTTCCCCCATCAGTCGGTTAACTCTTCATTACCTATTATTCGGTGAAGATTCAGTCTGATTTATCTTGTGCTGGATTTTGGTAGAAACATATATACAGCTGTTGTATCTGCCCCTACCAGACTTCTGAGCATAGCTTCTCAGAAGGTCTGAGTAATCTTTTCAGGAAATAGAGCACTGCACACTAGATTAGCTTAAAGGAAATAACTGATGATAATACCATTTGGAAAAAGAAAAAAAAAAGAAAAAAGTAAATTCATAATCAATGGGAGAAAAGATGGGGAAGAATGGTGGAAGTGAAATAAGCAACTACTTTTGCTTTGCTCAAAGTCACCTGTGAAAGTTACCGTATATCAGCTCATCAGCAATAGCTGATTGAATGTTCTTTGCAAATATGATGAAATTCATTGGCTTAATCTCTTTTCACTGTGTAACACATTTTATGTTCTGTTTTCAATAACTCACGACTAGTCATGAAGGTAGCTGACACATAGCAACTCAGTAAGGTGTAGTATCTAATTTTTGTGCCTGAGACGCAAGTTTTCTTGAAAGACCACAGAATTTGGATCTCCAAGTATTTTTTCAAATGTGGGATACCGAACCACTGTGCACAGCACAGGCAGAAAATATAAAGAAAAACTAAAATAATTTTTAAAAAATCAGAATGCCATCCTGTCTGTGCAACTTACTGTGAGACATTATGCAGGTTACTAAAGGAAATAAAATGGTGTAATAAAAAAAACCACACACACGGCAAGGAAGGACAAAGGTTCTGGTAATATGCAGCAGCAGATGGAGACTTCTGTCTAACACAGACCTTTTATTCAAGCCCACTTCTCCATTAATTAAAGCAGTGGGCAAGTGAAAACAAATATGTCTCAGCATAATTGTCTCTAAATAGACTTTCAAAGTTTGCCATGTGAGGTTTCACCAAATTTTTAAATGTAAGTGTCTCTGTTCAGAAAAATCACTCACAATTCCAACTTCTTTTTTTTTCTGCATTAAAAATCAGAATAAAGTCATTATTTGAAATAGAACTGACTGCCTTTGGATTCTCCCCCTCCCCCACTCCCTCAAGCTTTATGATTTAGTATCTGGCTAAGGAAAACTATATTTAATTAGGCTCATTAACCTTGCAGTGTGAACACGTCTCTTTTTTTTTTTTTTAAATAAGTCATCTGCTAGTCATCTGCACAGTCATGTGGCTTCAGGGATAAAAGTAATTAAAGCAGTTACACTATAGCTAATTAGCCAAAACTCTTCAAGTTTACTTTTTTCTCTGAAGACATTTGAAAAAATCATATTCAAAATCTTAACAGGAAATTCATCTCCTCTCTTTGAAGAGCATGAATCCAAAAATACTAAGCATTTCCTCAGAAAACAATAAATAAATCCACTTCATTAGTATAATTAGATAAATATCTAAGATACCGAACACATTCCTCATAATACACACTAAGCTTTTCAGAAGCTTTAAAAAAATTGTGTAGATGGCATCCCTTCAGATGGTGAAACAGAAAGCTCAAGAATGCCCGAGGCTGCAGTTTCACAAGCTTTTTAAGGCAGCGCTGTCCCCAAAAGAAGCTGCCCCCCCAACTGATTATATCCTCCTCTGTGCCAGAAACAGCATGTGTGCTCCTGCTCTTATCATGAACACATGATAAAATGGGTAAGGGAAGTGATGAAAGCTGTTATTTCTGGAGAAGTGAGCAGAACTGTGTCCTGAACCTTTAGTGGGGAAATGAGGTATTCAGCTGGGCACAGGCTGACCCCAGCTGGCCATGCACAGCCAAGCCAAGCCCCTGAACACGGAGAAAAGGCTTCAGGATCAGGTCTTGTTACAGTTATCTTACCACCTAAGATGTTCAGAGGTTTGAGGGTTACTCAGTTTCTTCGAGACAGAAGCTGTAGTTATTTTTCCATAGTGACTCTTCCTATGGACCTATTTTATTTTCAGATAGGTCCTCCTTATATGAGAGTTCAGTCTCCAAATCACCAGCCTTCAGATACTCAAAGGAGGACACCAAGGCATGACCCCTGAACTAGAAAATAGCTCTACTATCTTGTGACATCAGTGAAATCAGACAGTGTTGACCATGGATCACATGAAATGGATGACGGTATCCTCCAAAGCACTTTGAAAACCGCTGACAAGCCTTTCCTCAGAAAGCGAGCTGCAGGACAATGGAAGCTTGGTTTCCTGCAGGTCCAAGTCCTCTGCGGTTCCCTTTCTTCTTCCCTGGCTCCAGAGACCTCTCCTCACCCCAATAACCCAGCTGTCCTGTTGAGGTCCTTATGACCATAGAGTAAAACAGGATGTTGTTACTTGTATAAAGCCCCCCAAGAACGATGGCTTCAGAAGTCACGTAATTGCTGAGCTGTGCCTGCCTTTCCCTCAATAGAGGGACTAATTTGGCCACTCTACCCAGTGACTTACTTATTTCTGAGACATCTATCTGTCCTTCAAATTTGATTAAAATTATCCAGCAGATTCAAAAGGTGTTAGAAAGGGACAGTGAGGAAACAGAGCCAGAGTACAGGCTAAAACCAGCTATTAATATATTAGAACAGAATTATGCTG